GCTTATTAAGTGGGTCTGAGCCCTAACTTTGTCTTCAAGTATTCAGTAGAAAATAGAAAAAAAACAAAATAGTGCAAATGAAGAAGAGAAATAATAATAATAAATAATAATTATAAGTAATAGTAGTAATGAAACAAAACATATTAGGCTGCCTATTTTTGTCAGCAAGAGAAAAAAAGGTTAACCATAAAACCCTATTACCAGTCACATCTATTCATTTATCATATCAATCAATACGTCATCATAATATGGTGACAAATTTGCAGAAAAGCGAGGATGCTAATCCAATTTCAATGATTTATTTCAAGCTCATGAGGAAACATTTCGAGTGATTTTCTTTGGCAAGACCATACTGCAGCAAACAAGTGATACACAAAATATGCTCAAGAACTTTTTTGAATATGCTAAAAATTAATGCAGAGAGAAAAGTTTTTGTCTAGAAATCCAGAGCGTTTTCTGTCTGACTGACAAGACTTCTGCGAAAACTTCATAAAACAGAGAATATATTGGAAATATCCCTCATTTCTTTGTTATAACTTTTTTCTTTAGTAGTAGCGGAGGTAGAGCGATTTTTGTTGTTATGGCCGATACATAATTTTATGTTAAGTACTTATTGGTGTCTATCGTTATTGAAATTGTGGGGATATTTGAATCTGAATATTCGGCATGTTTGCGCAAAAGCTGATGACTAGCTCATGCGTCAAGACCGAAAGGATATCAGCGAATGGAGGCAACTCCAGCGCCGAAGCAGCGTAGCGCATTGGAAGCGTGCTGAGCCCATAATCCAGAGGTCGGTGGATCGAAACCACCCACTGCTAGACGTCTTGTTTGAGCGTATGGGTTGCAGGCCTCATAAATGTGCAAGCTAATAAGAATGTATAAAAAGCCTGATTGACGTGGGCCCGGCCAACCAACGGACCCCAAAAGCAAGATTCGGTGCTCCATGCAGCTGCAAAACTGGCCCTTCGAGTCTACCATCGCGCTGGAGTTTTTTTCGATCTTTGAGGCCTAATCGAAGGCCATATTTCTGGTGATCATGACTACAGCACACAGTATCGGTGTTGACGATAAGAAGCTGTCTCTTTGGATTCATCAGCGGCATTCTATAAGCCTTCAATCGTGTCGTCAGCCGTCATCTTGGGAATAAATTACCTATGCAGAGGTATACAGTAGCGGTCAGAAGTGTTTACCAAAACGGTTTTCCATTCTCTATTTTTTTTGCCGGAAAAATCGGTAGTGGTCTCGAAAATTTTTTCTCTTGAGTTCCTGATTCTTAGGACTAACACTAGGGAACATAACACATCAATCCCTGAAGGTTGCTGCTCTGAAGAGAAAAAAATAATGCCCTAAAAATCGTTTCGGCGAACACTTTTGACCGCTTCTGTATATACGCTTTAACAATGATTCGCTAGCTGTCTTCTAAAGTCCATCTACGTTGTTGTAGAAGTTTATGTGTAAATTGGAAAACGGTTCCCTACAGTCTACATAGTGCGCCCCTAACGACCGTATATATGAACCTCTTTCAAAAATCACAAACAAGCTCCTCTTCGATGGTAAATTAATAACAGACAGGTGTATCTGCTTCTAGATGAGTCTTTTTTCGATATGTGAATACAGACATTAAATTGATTGTGTCCAGCAAGAACGTCGCTAGCATACGAAAGCTGAGTATGCGGAATATTCCTTCCCATGTCTACTAGTGGCCTACCCGTACATACGCCTTGCTTGCCGTTTCCACGAGGGTGGTCGGTATACCCGTGTTTCGAAGTTGCGGCAAGTACCTATGACCCCGCAAGTGGCGAGCGGGCATCATTGCCGACTGATGCTTGTGCTGTGGGTAGCTTCTGGGTTTAGACGTGTTTGGCGTTGGCGGCATGACTCAATTCGTGTGCTTTCGAATTTACACTCAAAATATGTTACCACGCGATCTCAATGCAGCGAAAGTTTCCCGCTTGTCTCCTAATTACTACACAATTTAGAAGCAGTTCCCGATCCACTTGATTGGCAGACCTCCGATTTTCGTGGTATTCTATTTTCACCACTCCTCTTATCCATAGGCTCATTTTAGGGCATCGTTTAGTCTTTAGTCATTATTGAGTTTTTGTTTTCTATTTTTTTTCTTGTGTTGCTTTATAATTGTAAAATTATCTCACTCGGTCAACCTCTCCAGCCTAGTATTGTCACGGATCAGCGCGTTCACTACGCATGTATAAATAAATAAACTTTACCTTCCCGAGTGAATCTTCTTGTCGATTAGCTATAACACAATAATCACTACCAGTAGCAAGCTGTTCCAATTGTCGAACCGGTTTCGAATAGGACTCATCTAATTTCGATTCGTAAAAGACCACTCGGTAGTCGCCACGCTCCGCTTTCTCATATGAGTACACAATTGTGTGACCACAATAGCCCCACTGAAGTGAGTTACTGGTATTTAGCATGAACTGTATAGTAACTATAAAGAGGAAGGAAGTTTCCAAACGTACTTTGTATCGTGGGCGAACATTTGCAAACCATAATAAGTTTTCTGAGGACAGAGCTAGTTTGACTCCTGTCGGATCCCATGAGCAACCGGTTAACGAGGAGCAATGCATTTGCAGCGATGTTAATTTCTGAAATAGAAGTTTTTTTTCGGGTTGAATTAAATTACGTCCTGCCAGAAAAGAAAATGCAAAAATGTCGCAGAAACCAAAAGGAGGCACGCTAAGCGTTTCGGGGAACCGAAACGAAGGATTTTGAAATCTTTTTGAATCTGTGAAATTTTTAGGGAAAACGCTGAAAACTTTATTCTAAGACCAGGAAATTAGTGTGAAAACTCGAAATGTCCCAAAAACCTTCTATTTTTATTCATATCTAAGAAATGGAACTCTTTGAATTAGGTACTTTTAAATCTTAACATCGGAAGTATGTCTCCATGTCCTTTGTTGAAACCTTATTACCAAATACTTAGTGATGAAGCCTTGGGTCAAGCTTCCATCACTGAGTACTCAGTAGTGTTCTCGACGTTCTGATGACGTCGAGAATACTATAAACGGTTGATCGAGTAGCTAACAAATCAAAAGCTTCAGACTATCTCCAGGCCTCTGAAGAAGACGAAGCGGTCGAAACGTAAGGCCAGTAAATAAAGATTCCATCTTAAAAACCTCGTTTGGCATACAGTATAAAAAACAATCGAAAGCATGATTTAGCAGAGCAGAACTTGGGATATTCACTTTGAGGCACTTTTTGTTCTGTAAAGCGTGAGGTGCTCCTTGAAGGCACAATTCGTGATGTCATAGGAGCGGTCCGTTACGGTTATGAGGTTATTGATTTCACAATCGTAGGAGTGGTGCCACTTTCGCTACTCAAAAGCATGGCAAGGGCCCTAGGTCATAGATCGGTGCTATACAAGTAGGGTGGGCACGCCGCATTTTTTGAACAGAAATGTATGTAGTGGGACTGCTGCTCGCTACTATACTGTCACGAGAATCGGGGAATTCAATCTGGGGGGTGGGGTGGGGGAGAGGGCTCATTTGACATGCGTGAAAAGCTGGGCGTGCCCACCCCTCTTGTATAGAGCCCTTACAAGGGAGGTCGTTCAGGGTGTGCCAAGCTTTTTCAAAATGGTTTTTTGCATGACATTGGGCACCACAGAACATGGTTCATTTTTCCTGAACGGCCCTCTGAATACCAGAAAAGGGGTCCCTAGTTCGATTCCTCGTGGTGACAAATTTTTGCATTTCGAGTTGACGTTTCAAAATTCGCGCAAAATGGAGTTAGCATGAATAATTAGTACCATATTCATGATTAGGACCGTCAGTAACCCTTACAAATAGACTTTGATTGAAAAACTGGTGAAAAAGGTGTGACTAGGGACCCCCTTTTCTGGTATTCAGAGGGCCGTTCAGGAAAAATTAACCATGGTTCTGTGGTTCCCGCATGTGCCCCTATATCATGCAAAAGACCGTTTTGAAAAAGCTTGGCACACCCTGAAAGACCTTCCTTTTTAGAACTTCTGCCATTACCCAGTCATAAATATGCGTGAAGCGTGGCGATGTCTGCACCTCGCTCACCTGGTTTGCTCTATTATCTTCTATCCCACTCTAAATTTTTTTTCTGGTTTCGGTCCCCAGGAACCTAATTTTTTTTCCTAAATTTTGACAGATCTCCCTTTACTCGAGAATCAACAGACTTCGTACCTGTCACGAGACAAGAAGCACCTACAAATTCATATTTGAACCTCATATCATTACTTCTGCTGTTGCGTAATGTGCTACTGTACCAAAGCGCTGAATCAATGCAGCTGTTTTAGTGACGATCCACGACGCAAAGAATATTCGGAAGAAGTTATGTAGGGAAGGTAATACATACATGGTTATAGAGACCAAAAAAATAGCGTTCGACTCATAAACAGAAATGTGTAACGTCAAAGTATAGATGGAACCTCACCACTCCAAAGGCAGTGACTATATGCACAACACAATTTTCCTGAGCGGGCATGTCCAGTTGTTGTCCTGTCACAGCGAAGAAGTTCCCATTGGGGCACCACCGTGCACATGTTACTGTGAGCTGCGGAAATCGAGCGACGATTGGAGCTGAAAATCAGGTCTACACAGCAGCAGCATAAAGCAGTATTGATAAAAAGAGTCATTCTCGGAATTTTGTGGTCTTCTACTCTTCTTATAGAACTAGACTTGCGACTAAAGATGGTGTGCATGAGAAGTAAGTTTTCGAGGAGCAGCAAACCTTCGAAATTCACACTTTGTAGACAGGTGCGGCGGGTTTTCAGCAAGACCACAATCATTCCTAGTTCTGCATTCATTTCTTCACGGAGTGGACCGTGTTAATCACTTACACATATCATTCTCGTTTCTCATCAACTGCACCACGCCATGAGCGTATGCTATGAGAAGCTTCGGTCTTGGGTCCGGTCGGGGGTCTGCAACGGCAGGAAGGCTGTCAAGGGATTGAAGGCGTGGAAGCCGTGATAGAGACGGAGAGTCTGAAATGGCTTCATATTTAAAAAAAATGCGGAACATAAAGCTAAACATTTCAGAAGCAAACTCCCACAACTTCAAACAAAGTTCTACTGTAATTGGGAAAGAGGCCGGTTAACTCTCTTGTCACAGCCCCTCATCAGAACAGAGTCATCTCGAACATTGCAACTTTTCACCCAAATCGAGTGGTTCGCCCTAGCCCCTCTCTAAAGAGGTAAGCAAACCAGCCGTTTGGCGTTTCTGCTGGGGCCGTATGCTGAATGTTGGGGAGGGGATCGACGGTCGACGGACTACTTCAACTCGGTCCTTAAAACCGCCTCAATTTGATGCTTACCTCAGGAACTAAGCCTTAAAGAGAGAGGTCCGTCCCTCTCCAAGGCTTAGTCCTGGGGTAAGCAAACCAGCCCTTTGGCGGAGCTGCTGGACCAGCTGCACCACTTCGTCATCACTCTCCTACCGTACCGACCGAGTTGAAGTAGTCCGTCGACTCGGGGACCCCATCCCCTCCCCAACATTCAGCATACGGCCCCAGCAGAAACGCCAAAAGGGCTGGTTTGCTTACCTCTTCTCCAATCTGCCTCCTAGTCACCCTGAATTAGAGAACGGTATTCAAAGCTAACTTGTAATCAGAGAGACAGATAGGATGAGGGAGTTGAGCTCCACTGTAACAGCTGCAGCATAGTCGGTTGCGGCCACTTTAAGCTGTCCACGAAATGCTGCGGGCTCGCACTCCCACCTTTTCAAACGCCATCAGTGGTTCAACCTAAGCCCTCAAATTAGCCACGTTATCACTAACTTAGCTCCTCTTCCTTTTTCTCTTCGTTTCTCGTTATTAATGTTGAATTTTGATAAGAATGTGCTGCAGAAAGTAGAGATCGGACGCCGTTGTGCAGTACCCCCCCCCCACCCCCCATCTTCCCAATAAAGTAGCACTTGAGAGCTAGCAGCCAAACAAGTTATTGTTGCTACTAATGTGTGCAACATTAGTAGCAACAATAACTTTAGTAACTAAGATTTATATCCATGGCAGGAAAACTGCAAAAAAAAAGCTGGACTGGAAAAAGATAGTCGCCCGGAAATTCGGCATAGTATCCAAGTCACTACTTCAACGTTTTTCTGATAATAAAGGGACATTTCCTGGGAAGTTTGAGAGTCGGAACGAAATTTAGCTCGGAAACAATCTATGCAGAGCTAACGATGAGGAAAGCCCAATGGAAAGGAGGCGTTCAAGTGCTAGACTCACATTTCTTCTGATTGGTGGGCGATGAGCGACCATCTGTAAAAGCGGATTTTGAAAACGCTTGTGAGTTCGAAAACTGTTCTCATTACCAAAGGCCAACACTCACCAATTTCTAGGAATCGACTTTTTGGCGTTGGTGCATACCACTTCAGTGCTATAATATTATCCTTGCGCAAATCTTCTGAAAAATGGGAAACGCGTTTTGAAAACTGCTAATTCAAACTCATGCATAATAGAGCAGTCATTGAGCACTGCGCTGGCACAGAAGCCCCGTGAGGTGTATCACCTCACATAGCGTTTTCCTTCTTCCCAAATCAACAATAGGAATTGAAGTTTTTTACAGGAAGTAGAGTGCTGAGATGAGCATCTGCATGGTCAGATCGCACAGCTTCGGGTGGAATTCTTCAAAGAACGAGTCTTTCATTAGTATTGCTTCAGTGTTTGTTTACGTCCACCAGGCCGCTGAACTCAGCACGAGCTCGTAGTGAAACCATCTCTCAGCGATTTAGGCAACTATTGTGTGCATTTTTGCATTGCATAATCTATTGAACCCTACGATTACTGAAAACAAATTCAGCTGTGACGCTCAGTTAGTGAAAAGATCCTTTCCTAGAAATTCTTGAATTTTTCCCAACATGAATATGTCAGTTGTGATCACTAAAGACAAGATTCAGTTTTCGAAAACAAACAAATTTACGAAAACCACACTCTATGACAACTGGAAGCGTTCCCGCTGCCAGCATGTGACAATGTCGGTGAATGGCGTTCCAGCCCTTCCGTTTTCAAGCCTTTTACCAGAAAAAGTGTAATTTTTTTATTCATTTCATTCTTATCGTGAACAGTGGGTCCCAAACCAGTTATTTATGGGTGAGATTAAACCACACTTTCTCTGCGAAGGATTCCTTCAACAAATACTTGTATTAAAACGATGCCTTGCGCTTCTCGACATTCTTTGTCACGTTTCGTCATGCTTCAGACATCAAGGCATATGCATCGGTCAAAGAATCGCTCGAAAGAATGGGTTTCGGAGAAGAGAGAATGGGTTTTAGTCGAGAAACGGCATGCGAGATAAGCTCCTGTTTTAAATTGAACGTAAATGGGCTGCTCATATGTATCCTGATCGGCTGTTCCAAATGCAGTCCTCTAAAGACATCACTCATCCCTCTTAGTGTTGGACGCGCTCATCGCAGCTGTATCCGTGCTGATATTCGGAGGATTGCGTTATCGGCAGTTTTGCTTGAGTTCTTTTTCCATTCTGCAAAATCTACACAAACTCACTTGCTAGGGCTGTCTCCAGCTCGACGCTCTCTAATGCAACCATATGAAGCTTTTGCTGAAAAAAGGTGTGGTTTGCAATATTCAAGGAACGAATGAGATCCAGCCATTATTTTCTGAAAATCGAAATTTGAGCAGGAACTGCTTTCAAAAATCTTCATTCTGTAATGTAGCTGGTACACAAATGATGATCTAACCGCGAAATTTCCCTGGGAGTCGTAGGTGTGCACCTCGCCGTCACCCATCCCGAACAGCAGCAGATTTCCATCTGGAGACCACTAAAAATGCTGCTTAGTCATAAAGGCATTAAACAAGATGTAATGTAAAGATGAGTTCTCTTACTTCACAGGCCGCTATCGTACCAGGCAGCTCTTTATTCCAGATTCGATTTCCATCCATTGTTCCAACGATAACTTGCCCTACGGTTGAAATTGCATTACTAAGAAGACGGGCTTCACGAGAAAAGGAGCTCTTCAGTAATCAAGGTGGAGGTGATCAGGACGCACACGTAAGTAAAAAACCATATAAGAAATAGCCTAGAACTTGTGAAATGGGATCCCCTCTTTATCCGCTAGTTTTCGCATTTATGCGACTCTCACTTGTGCTACTCTCTTCAACGTTAACGCTGTCTCTGGTAAACGGCCTGCGTCAGACGTCGAGGGATTACCTGTTGGCAGGCGTGCGGAGGCATGAGCAGAGCGGGTACTGCCTTTCTAGTACGTCCATTTCGAAGGGATTGAAAGCCGCTGCCCGCTAAGTATACTGTAACCTTGACAATTCTCAAATGGATACGGTACGGTTATACTAATTTGAAACTTCAGTTGGGATTGCTGCCAATTTTGAGTTCCAAGGGTATGAATGCAGTTAGAACTTCGTCTGGGTCGAGCAGCTCCTAATGGAGAACAGGAGGTCTTATCTTTTTCAGTATAATTGGAAGAATTCGTTCAGGGTGGAATTGACAGTGCATTCTTTCAACCAGGTACGAGGCTATAAACAGGTTGTCGCGATATATTGATATTTTAGTGAAATTTGCGTGTCGATAGGAAGCAGCCCTTGAATCTCACAGAAATGTGGACTCCTGTAGGTGCAAACCTACACCAAACCTCGTGAGGGAGATAGAGGAGCAAAATTCTTTTAGTTTTATGGGATTATTGAATCCAAAGAGGTATTTTTTCTTTTGCTGGGAGGGGGTGGAGGATGCGGGATGGTTGAGGAAAGGCTGCAGGATATAAGGCCAGGTGAAGCAAGGAAAGGAAAGAAGTTGGAGGAAAGGGGAAGTCGCATGTGAAAAATCCACCTATGCGCACAATGCCAGTTCGCTCAAGATAGCCACGCGAGTTGCTGAACACTTATTGCTATTATATTTCAAGCAATATCTCAATTATGACTTCTTTTTTTGAAGCAAAACGCGTGAGAAGTGATCCCATCAATAGGTGGAGCAAATAACTCAAATTTTGAAAACAAATCGCTTTCATACCATCTTGGTATGTGATGGCAATCTTGCTTCCATCGTAGTTCCACGCCATGCCGACCACAACGCTTTTGTTTCTGAAACAGTCAAATTTTCAACCTGAATCTAACCAGAAAGGTCTCTCAGGCCACCTCCAGCTTATTCGAAACGCTGTTTTTCATTACAGACATGCATGGAACATGGAACTACGCTTCGCTTGCGACGGACGCTTTCGTGATGCCCCAAAAAGGTACCTGTGGTATTAGTATGTCATATTACGATCAAGTGCATCAGGAACCCATGAGGATGTTTGCCACAAACAAATGGCGAAAGGCGTGACGCTTGAGCTTTTTTTAAATTCATTTTCTGGTATTCTGAGGGACACTCGGAAAACATAAACCGTGGCTATGTGTTTCATCTGCCCTTACATGATGCAAAAGACCGTTTTTTGAAAGCAGGGCACAACAATAAAAACCTCCTGATAATGAACAAATTTCCATGAAGTACCCTCCACATCAATATGTTGCAGAGTCACGGGGACTGCTGGGCTCACGGGAACAGAATCAGGCTCCAAAGGAACAGTCTTCCTTCGTGCCACGAAGGACCAGATCGAAGAGTCTGGATAGCATGAGGACAATCTAGACGCAGACATCGCCCATTACGTCAGATTCAAAGCATTCCGCTTGTTAAAGCTTGATTTCTGCTTGGGTGCAGCCATTGAGCAACATGGCCGCTTGTGCCTTGGCACCTCAGGCTGCGAGATGGGCACAACCTCAAGAAATTCAGAGGAATTCTTAAGTAATGTAGAACATAAGTGAAACTCTGGAATATGTGATCGTCCGTCTCCTTGCGCCTGAGAGAATCCCTCATCCTGGTGGTTCTTGCTGCTCTCATTTTTCCGCACCTTTCCTAATGTGAATTGCAGAAAACGGTCACAATGATACACTTACCTACTGGAACTTCTTCTCTTGAAAAATAGCTTCTAATGGAAAAGTAAGCCAGAGCTCGACTGAATCAATTGCCTAGCTTTTACTGTACGACGCAATGACGTTTTAGAAGATGTCGCTCGCACTGCAAGAATGTGTCAGAAATCAAATACCCAGTGATGTCCTCACCGATGAAACCAAGCTTTCATTATCCTGGAGTGATAAGTTCGATTTAGCTCATTATTGGCTTTATTCCACGGATCTCTTTCACTGAGGGTCCTCTCTCACTGAAAGATCTCGAGCCGGTTGGTGGCGAGGCTACGTGGCGCGACCCCAGGTGGCGGATAGGGGGTAAATCGCGGACCAAAAGCCACCATGTACTTGCCCTGAGACGCAGGTGGATTCAGGGGATGGACTCCCTGTTTCTGTAGTGCTGTGTTGATTCATACCAGCTGTCTCCACTCAGGCGCATCCATGCATGCTTGCGTGTGTGGTGCGCTCTGTGTGTGTGCGGTTGGTATCCTGCATGTCGGCACAGCTACCTGGAGGTCTATCCTAGCCCACACGACAGAGCCTGGCAAGCTACTCGTGTGCCTTCAATATGCCGAAAACAGCAATTGGATGGGGCCTCATTCCCCTGAACCTGAGGGAGCCCCCAATACGGCAGCGTTGGGTAGGACCGCTCGGGAGAGGCTGCTAGAATCTCAGGGCCCGGATAGGCTGCCTAAACGAAGAAGGACTAAGATGGCGATCTGCTACTTCAACGCAAGGACCGTCGGTCTCTTGCTGTACCGAAGCGTGAGATCGACAAGATCTGATGATGCAGGACCGAGAAAGATCAGTGACGCACGACCGCATGCAGTCCGGATTTGACCGAGCAAGCAGACACGGCAACCCCGCCCGCTACAGGCCCGCTCGACTGCTCGCCCATTCTCGATAACTACTGGAGACCGACCACTGGTATTTATGGAACAAGCACGCACAGCAGAGGCCTGGCGGTGCGGGAGGTGTACCTTCGTCAACGCAACCCTTGGCGTAACACCATCGATTCAGTACGAAATCCTTACACCAGCAAATCAGACATCTGAGATTGAGGAGATGTATTCAAGCTAGCTGCCTCGTTGACAACGCCACTCGTCGCCTATGTCAGCACACCAACCGCCTAGCAGGCTACGATAGAAGAGAACACGGGAGCATTGTCTATATGGAATTATTTCTACAGGGAAGATCATGGCCGGTAGTAAACGACGTCTCCCTCAATTCAGAGTTAACGTGTTGAGATTAGCTTAGACAAAAGTCGCGGTTAGGTAACAGTTTTAAAACGCCCCCCCCCCCAAGACATTAACTCTTGATTAGCTCATAGACCATTATCGAAAAGTCGATCTTAATTACGAATTAGAGAGATAAACCTGTACAAACGCTAGATCCGCAACCTATGCAGCGAACAAAAAGGGGGCACCGCGTTTGAGGGATACCAGCGACCTAGTCCGTCCGGTCGCCCACCGACACGTGCCCCGCCGAGCCAGGCAGGACGGCCATCCCCGTGACCTGCGGACCAACGTTGACCCTCGAAGTAAGGTACTCCCGAAGGAACTCGTTCAACTGGAGGGTATAACTGTGGTGGCAAACGTGAGCATCTGTGTCTCCCCTTTCCCAAGGTATTTTTTTTCTCTGACCAGCTCCACTAAGTAGGAATTAAAAATGTAGCTGCAATCGCATAATCCACAGATGCTTTTGTGACTTTTTTTCTGAAATATTTTCGTTTCCCATGTTTCGTTGTTGTCATAAAATAAATAGAGTAGGAAGCTCGCGTTTGATTTAAGATCGATTCGCGATTGTCTTATTCTTTATTCTATGCAAGGGCCTTCGATCACCACCTTTAACTGCGAATTAAGGGTAATTACTATCGTCCCATATCTTCTTCAAGGTCATCGTCGGCGACTTCAACGCTAAGATTGGCCCAAGAAGAACGGCTGAAGAACTTCACATCGGTACTCACGGAATGGAATTGGAATGAGCAGGGTGAGAAGACTGTCTGAGTTTATCATGTCGACCAACACCATCCATGGTAACTCGCAGTTCCAGAAGCCCTCTCACCTTCGTTGGACTTGGGAGTCACCTGATGGACAGTTCCATAACGAGATAGACCACATCATCTTCAATCGAAGGTTTTGCCTGACCGACGTCGCTGTTGTTCCGAAGTTCTACACGGGATCGGACCATCGTCTCCTCCGCGCAAAGTTCCACTTTTCGATGCGTGTTGAGAGAGCCTCGAAAAGTTCAGGAAGCGAAGCCCCAGGACAGTCATCAACTGGTATCACTTCACCTCTCTTGTCAACTCATTGGCGGATCCCGTATCTGAGACAAATTCCGGTGCGCGCGACGAGGGTAACTATTGCTCGTTAAACATCTTCACAATTGTGGGCACAAGTCATCAGAGTCGTCTGTCTACGGAAACTCTCGAGCTGATTCGCCAGCGTGGAGCCGCACGAGCTGCAGGCAATCACCGACTCACGTCCGAGCTTGCGAAGCTATGCAGAGAGGCGATAAAGGAAGATCTCAAGGAGCGAAGAGCAGCAGTATTAGCTGAAGCAGCAGAGGCTGGGAGGAGCATCCGCAATGCCCGCCGAAGCTTTGCCAGCTACAAGACCAAGATGACCTGCCTCCGACGTCCGGATGGAACAGTTACTGCATCCCGAAGGGCAATGGAGAAAGTCATCCACGACTTCTACTCGGATCTCTTCGATAGCCCAATGCCCTACTCTGCTAACTATGCATCGCGCAAGAGGATGGTATAGTTGTCGCCGCTCAGTTCTCTCTTCTCGCGAAGTCGCCAACAAGTCACGCCCGGTCTCGACAGGGTTAAACCGGAACATCTGAAGAACGCGCCAGTTATCATCAAAACTCTGGCTCGACTCTTCACGCGCTACCTGTCGGAATGCAAGGTACCCACTCCGTGGAAAACCAGCAGGACCGTGTTGCTGTACAAGAAGGGAGACTTGGACGACATTGGCAACTATCGCCCAATCTGCCTGCTGTCTGTAATCTACAAGCTATTCACTCGAGTCATCCTTAACAGGATCGGCAGAATACTAGATGAAGGACAGCCATGCGAGCAAGCAGGCAGGACGAGCATGCGGTCAGCGTTATCCAACGCGCTGTCGAGAGGACGATGCTAGGAGTAACCCTATACACGCAAGTGGGAATCCGGAGTTCGGAACTACGCCATCGAAGATCAGGGACGCTGCCGTTTTCGCCAAGGAATCGAAGATAAGGTGGGCCGGACACGTCATGCGATTTTGCGATGACCGTTGGACCAGAGCGGTTACCGACTGGATCCCTCGGGACGTCAAACGAACACCTGGACGACCGCCGGCCCGATGGTCAGACTTCTTCACGAAAGCTCTGAACGAAAGGAATGAAGGCTTCGTGTCCCTCGAGCGAGGAGGATCCACTGGACCACTCTAGCACGCGACAGGGACGAATGGAGACGTTGCTGGCGCCCGCTCGAGCAAATCGATGATCAACGGGACGACAGGTGATACAGGTGATTGGCTTTATTAGGTTATGAACTGTTTACAGTTAAGAGTCCACAAGATAGCACATGGCGAGTACGCATTCAAAAGGCACTACAACTCTGTTGGAAAGTCAGGTACGTGGTGCATCTAAAAAAGCTGTTCATTAGTGCTGAGCGTTTTTTCATTCATTTGAATGCAGGACGTGAAACAGACATGGTTCAACTTTCAGAAAACAATGAGGGTATCAAGTGTTGTTTGCCGAAAAGTCTAGCTTTTTGCATGGGAAAGCAGAGGACATCTACTCCAAACTAAGCACCTCCTTCTGTCACATGATTTCAGCAATTTTACCACAACTATTATCGATTACCTGTTATTGATCATTTCTTCGTACCATGTTTCATTGTGAAGACTCCATACGATTATTAAACCATTCGAATCACTTGTCGTCAATTTCTGGTGTACCTCATTCCATGCTGCACAAAGAACCGTACCTTTAAATGAGAAGTTTTGGTTAAATTTTTCATCATTTCGATTTTTTTCTACTTTTGTTTTTCTTGTAGTGGTCACCTTTGTTTATATTAGTCAAAAAAGATGTCTAGTTTTGCGTATGAAGAAATTTCTCAAAGTTCTGAGAAATAACATGGTTCTAAACGCGTGATCAGACAAACATATTCAAGAAAACTGAAACATGGTGAAATCACTGAATAAACTACTTGTGAGATAATTGTCTGATGTGTTTGATAACAATCCTGAAGCAAGTATTAGATGTACATACATATGTAAAGTAGCCCTCAAAATGTTCGATAACTTTTTCCGCTGCGTAAAATCATTTTAAACTGTAATATGTTTTGAATGGAAGCTTTTCTCACTGAGCACAACCTAGCCTCCGCCTGGTTTGACGGATACCCATATTTTTGATGAAAATAAAAGTAATGGAGCAAACACAAAAAGGGTGGGCATTATTGTACTATTACAACCCCAGGAGGGGTGAGATGGGTCAAAAAATAATTTTCGCTGAAACTTCGGCTATGGGGGTTATCGAGGGTCCTGATCACGAATATGATATTCATTTTTGGCGCTGGCGCCAATTTGGCGCCATTTGGCGCCAGGTGGCGCCACGACTGATTCCCACTAAATTCGCTGTAAACTTCTGTATAGGGGTTATTTGGGGTCCTGATTACGAATATGACATTCGTTTTTGTTGTTGGCGCTATTCGGCGCCTATTTCCTGCTCGTCTGCGCCCTCGCACTAATTAGATCGCAATCAGGACTAAGCCTTTGAATAGTGGAGGGCTCCAAAGTGAGTAGGCCACTCCCCTGTGGTCTAACACACTCCAACTTTTGCCACACGGTGCGTGGTTTACCCACTCCGGAGTTTCACTCCCCTCCCCTAAGCTTAGTCTTAAAGGCAAACTCCGAGATAAAACGTGGGACTTACCTGTTCAACTATGAAGTACTGGGTGCTAAGTGAATCGAAGCTAAAGAAAAAAGCAGGAAATACCTCCAAAAAAGTCCAAAATAAGAAATTCCTCTTCGTTAGTCGCTTAGAAGCCAGGGCTGGGAGAATTACGTGTCTTGGACGTGTCTACAGCAACTGTTGGCTTTATGCCAGCAACCGACACGGCTACAAAAAGTCAGCAATGAAAACTGATTGCTTCTAATTTCGCTATTTTTTCTATTTACCTGTGCTTTTTTGTTTTTTCCTATCTCAAAAATTTGATTATCACTAGAATGAATGACTAGGTTCTCGATAATGGTCTTAACATAGGCTTTGATGTTGGTTTTCGCAGTTGAAATCCGCTAAATATTCCTCTACGACCTTCCAAACAACAACTTAACATCTAGTGTTCCATGTGGTTGTTTGGAAGATCGCGTGGAACAGTGGGCGGGCTCAATGGGGTTGGGGCGGCGCCAATGCTCCAACCTAGGCTCCTAGCGCCTAAACCTTGTCAAATCGCCCCGCCACTTCTGCACATGGTCTGCCCTTGCGTACTGCTGCATATTTGAACACCTTCAAAATACTTCTGTACACGTCAGTTCGATGGAGTAAATTGAAAATGATGCACTTGGCGCGGATCCATTCCGTTCTTGTATGCGCCATGCAGTGACCCCACTCGGAGTCATTGGGAAGGTGTTTTGTCCTAGTGACGACTTGCTTAAGCACACCAAAAGATATTTCCAGTAACTAATTAGGATAACTCTTGTGGTCATAGTGATGTCTGATCATTCCTTTATTCAAATCGCTTCCTTTCCAACCCGTTCTGATGAATGACACGCTTGCGGTTGCAGGATCTGATGATGCCAAGAAGGCTGCGAATCTGCCTGTTTTGAACTTTCTACCAAGATGCTGTTCCTCCACTAAGTTCTCGAAGCATGTACATCATTCTAGAGTAGATACTCGCTGCCCTTTCCCTACGATTCTTTTGCAGGACGCGTTGCCTTCCTATGCCATACTGATCACTACGAACCCAACAACCAACCACTTGTAAGATGTTATTTGCATTAGGCCAAGTACAACACTTGTGAAACTAATGATGACAGCAAATAAGTGGCAGCAGCACCGTTGTGTCCGCTGATGAACCTTTTGATTACGACCCCCTCCCAACTCTCATGGGAGCAAATACGACCCCTTGTCGAGGATTTCCTCAACCGTTATTCACCCTGAGTGATAGTATTCAGTTTTACGATTGTGGAAAGAAGTTCCGGGGGAATTTCT